ACTGACTGAATGACTCACTGACTGAATGACTCACTGACTGAATGACTCACTGACTGGTTGGCTGGTTGGTTGGTTGACTGACTGACTGACTGACTGAATGACTGACTGACTGGTTGGTTGACTGACTGACTAACTGGCTGGCTGGCTGGCTGGCTGGCTGGACGGTCGGCTGGTTGGTTGGTTGCTTGACTGACTGACTGGTTGGTTGGTTGGTTGACTGCCTGCCTGCCTGCTTGCCTGCCTGCCTGATTGATTGATTGACTGACTGACTGACTGACTGACTGACTGATTGAAATTGTTTAGGGTCTCCTGCTTGACCAGGGGGCTGGACTAGAAGACCTCCGAGGTCCCTTCCAACGCTAGCATTCGCTGTTCCATATATGAAGCAGCGGCTGCTGGGCTCGGGAGCGCGCCCGGGGCCGCGCCTCCTGAGTGGCGGGGGCGGCCCTGGAGGCGGAGCAAGCCAGCCAGGCAACCGCGGGAGGCGAGCCGGGTCTCTGGCCGCAGCTGTTCGGCTTCCAGCCACAGCAGCAGCCGCCGCAGGAGGAGGCGGAGGCGGAGGAGGCGGAGGCGGTGGCCGTCCCCGGCCGCTCCTCCCGCTCCGCCGCTTGGGACGCTCTGCAGATGGCCAGCCCGGCCCCGGCGCTTGCCCAGCCGCCGCAGCCGCAGCCACAGCCGCAGCCCGCCTTGGCCGAAGCCCGGCGCTGGATCGAGGTAGGGAGGGAGGATGGCTGGTTGCAGGGGGAAGGGGCCGCCGCCGTCCTCCCCTCCGACCCCCAGCCTCGCCTCGCCTCGCCTCGGCTGCTGCGGCATCGACCGCAGCTGTCTTCCCTTCCCTCTTCTCTTCCCTCCTTCCTTCCTTCCTTCCCCATTTCCCCTTTTCATCCCCCTTGGCTTCCCCTTCTGCTTGCCTTCTCACTCCTCACTTCTCACTTCCCCTTCCCTACTCCTTTCCCCTTCCCCTTCTGCTTCCCTTCCTTTTCTCTTCTCTTCCCTCTCTCCTTCCTTCTCCATTTCCCCTTTTCATCCCCCTTACTTCCCCTTCCCCTTCCTTCTTCCTTTCCCCTTCCTTTAACCCTTCCCTTCCCCTTCTTTTCCTCTTCTCCTTCCCTTTCCTCTTCTCTTCCTTCCTTCCTTCCTTCCTTCCTTCCTTCCTTCCTTCCTTCCTTCTCCATGTCCTCTTTTTATTCCTCTTGACTTCCCCTTCCTCTTTTCCTTCCCTCTTCCGTTCCCTTCCGGCTTCCGTTTCCTCTTCCTCTTCCCCTTCCCTTCCTCTTTCTCTTCCCCTTCCCTCCTTTCCTTCTCTTCCCCTTCCCTTTTTGCCCTTCCTCTTCTCCTTCCCCCTTCCCTTCCAGCTTCCTTTTCCTCTTCCCCTTCCCCTTCCCCCCTTCCCCTTCCTGGCCTCTCTTTGTCCCCTGCCTTGCAGGACTATGGTGCTGAAAATTCCTGGTACTGTACAATCTGCCCAGGGGCTGGAGGAGGAGGAGGAAGAGGAGGCTGGCCGGTGGGAGGGAAACCCCTCTTGGCTTGAAGCTCTGAATGGCCCAGGGAGGGGTGGCTGCTCTCCCCCTCTTGGGAAGGGGACCCAAGAGAGGAAACTAAGGCATTGCTCTCCGCTGCTTCCCTGGGAGACACGGGTTGGAAATTGGTCTTGAGGACGGGATTGTGGTTGCGGGTTGATGTGCGTTGCGTGAGTAAGTCAATGACACCATGGAGAAGATTTAGGAGCCAAGCCCATCTCTTGTAGTACGGTTGCCAGCTCATTTCCACCTTCATCAATCTCAAATTATTCAATTAGTAGTAGCAAGTATTCAATGGGTTGCATTAGAAGTGACTTTTGGGTGCTTACAACATCCAAATCAGAGGTCTCCAACCTTGGCCGCTTTAAGCCTGGTGGACTTCAACTCCCAGAATTCCCTAGCCAGATTTGCTGGGGAATTCTGGGAGTTGAAGTCTGCCAGGCTTAAAGTGGCCAAGGTTGGAGACCCTTGGTCTAAACCAGACTCATAATTTAAAATCCCGGGGACCACTAATATGAATTTTGACTGACAGTGGCTTGCTGACAGTGTGTGTGGGTGGGGGAGAGAGACAGAAACAGAGAGAGAGAGAGAGAGAGAGAGAGGGAGAGAGAGAGAAACACAGAGACAGAGAGAAAGAGATATAGAGACAGAGAGAAAGAGAGAGAGAGATCTAACCTCTTTCTCCCTCCCCCCCTTTCTCTCTCTCACACACACAGTCGCAGGGGTGGGATTCAAATTTCTTAACTGGTTCTGTGGGTGTAGCCTAATTTGTGGGTGTGGCTTGGTGGTCCTGTGACTGGCAGGGCATGGCTTGTATGTAAATATTATAAATATTGATGTAAATATTGATTTTTTTATATAAAGAGCAGTTTTTACCCAAAATCAGACAAAGCAGGCAGGCAGATTGAGTTGCTTACAGAATCACAGATTTACTCAGATATCTATCTATCTATCTGGCATCAGCTAGCTCAGTCTGTCACATAAAATTTGCTTCCAAGCAAACGCATAAAATTTGCTAGCAAGCAAACTCACAAAATTAACTCACAATATACTGTGTATGTAAATATTGGGTTTTTTTAATTAAAAAAGCAACTTTTACTGAAAATCAGGCAAAGCAGGCAGGCAGATTGAGCTGCACACAGAATCACAGATTCACTCAGAGATCTATCTTTCTGCCATTGGCAACCTGAGTCTGTCACATAAAATTCTGCTTGACCACCAAATTTTTCTCGCAGGCCACCAGTGGCCCACTTGTTGGCGACCACTAGTCTAAATAATGAAGTCATCCCTCTCTGGAGATATCAAACAATTCCCTGTATCCCATCCTCTTCTCTGGAAGCCTCAGATAACTGCTGTATCCCACCTAATTTCTCATCTTCCTATTATTAGTATTTATTAAATATATTTATAGAGCCGTCTTAACTCACATGGAGATCCTATGAATAGATCTACCCGATATGTTTAAATGATAATTGGGATTGGTGTTAGAATTGTATCTTGAAACACTGAACAGTGAAAGAATGAAGGATGAAACTTTAATATATACAGAGGTGAAGTGTTTGAATGAATGAATGAATGAATTCTTGATTGTCTAAGTGTGATTAGACACACAAGGAATTTGTCTTGGTGCATATGCTCTCAGTGTACATAAGGGAAATATAAGTAGTAAAGCAGGTGAAAAATGGAAGGCAGAAAAGAAACATCTTTAAATACTACGGTGATGTGAATAAAAGTTAGAATACAAATAGAAATAAGAGGGGAACAACAATGCAACATATTTTAATATAGCAAGATATTTGTAACAATAAGGGGGAGGTTGATGGCGATAATGTTAGATACTAGCTCGATACTCGCGCTTCGCTATGAAACTATGTGGTCAGGGTTAGTTTTTGGGGAGGAAAATAAGGCGGGGGGGAAATTCTGCCTTTGCCTATCAGCATCCATCGGTATTCATCTGGCTAGTGTCCTGCCAGTGTGTGAGAGAGTTGAGGGCTGTTTGGAAACTGAAACCGTATTTGCTGTGTGAGTAAGAAGGAGGTAGCAAGGAGCCTGGGAGCGGCTTAGCTCAACTGTTTTGTACTAAAGCTGCTTGGTGCTCTGAAACTAAAACTGAAACTGAAACTCCTCTCCTCTGCTTGTGTTTTGCCTTTGGAACAGATTTCTTTTCAGGTGGGGAGGGGGAGTAGAACTCTTTAGCATCAAAGCATGTTAATAATAATAATAATAATAATAATAATAATAATAATAATAATAATAATAATAATAATATAGGAAATACTAATGCTCTGATGGTCAATTTGAAAAATCCTTTCTTAATGAGTCCCTGGAAGCCAAGAGGAACCTATGTGCCAAATTTCAAGTTTGTAAGCTTTACGGTTCTGGAGATTTTGTGATGATGCATGAGTGGTATTTATATATGTGTGTGTGTGTGTGTGTGTGTGTGTTTATGTGTATATATATATGTATATGTGTGTGTATATATGTGTGTGTGTATATATGTGTGTGTGTGTGTGTATATATATATATAGTGTTTAAACATTATAAAACAATGAAAATGAAAAGTAATAATATGTTTATTTGAGTAAAATGTATGGTATCAAACTGCTCACACATTGATTTAGTTTAAGCAATATGAAATAAAAAACTTGACAAAAATAATAAGAGAGAGAGATCGTTGTGGATGGTTGCAACATTGAAATAATCCTCTGGAATGACCAGTTAATTCACACCTTCCTCTCAAATAAGGGGTCTTTGTAGCCCCCTTCTCTTTTATTTTTTATTTATTTATACTTAAAAAAAACAACTAGAAGCAGTTCCTATTTTGTAGGCGTGGTGATCATATAGTGGTTTTATTTCCACCAACGCTTTTGATTCATTCTGCCAAAAACGGATGGTGCAGACCAGGTGAAGGGGTTGAGTTGAGTTGAGCTTGGCTGCTGACTGGAAGGTTTGGTGTTTCCTTATTTCAACTTTTAAAAACCTTTGTTGCGGGGATTGGGTCTCGCTAGTCTAGAGAAAAGAAGGACCAGGAGTGACATGTTAGCATTATTCCAGTATTTGAGGGGCTGCCACAAAGAGGAGGGGGTCAAATTATTCTCCAAAGCACCAGAAGGCAGGACAAGAAACAATGGATGGAAAATAATCCAGGAGAGAAGCAACTAGGAATTGATGAGAAACTTCCTAACAGTGAGGACAATTAACCAGTGGAACAGCTGGCCACCAGAAGTTGTGGGTGCTTCATGACTGGACAGAGTGTCTGTCTGAAATGGTATAGGTTCTCCTGCTTGACCAGGGGGTTGGACTAGAAGACCTTCAAGGTACCTTCCAGCTCTCCTCCTCCTCTTCCGCTTCTGTTTCCTCTTCTTCCTCTTCTCCTCCTCCTCCTTATTATCATCCTCCTCCTCACCTATAAGGTGGGGATCTCTGAGTGGTCTCCCATCTGTTTACAGATCTGACCTGACCTTGCTTGTTTTCCAAGTCAGATGAGAAAGCCAGATGAGTTACACTTGTCGAGAACCATAATTAGTGATAAAACAATATTAAATCTGATATAGTAAAAAAACAACAACAGGTGCAAGTGGACAAAATGAAGTGGTTTTATTTTTTAAATGGTTTCATTTAAAAGCTACTGGGCTTATTAATAGGATAGTGTAAAATCATTGATTTATAAGTTGTGTGTCTCCTTCAGATCCCTGTGTGAAACTTTTTCTGACCAAGACGAAAAGTATGTTCTTTGCATTAATATCTGATGCTGTTTTAAGACTGAGGAGAATGGCCCACATGTGATTTTGCAATTATAGTTTTAAAGCCAGGGAAACATTAGTTTCCAACCCAAATTTAAGCCCTGGCTTCATTTTGTGGATCTGTCCTCCGGGAATGGTACAGGACACTGAACTATTTCCCCTGTAATTTCTATATTTTTTTTTCCTTGAGTGACATTTTGGTGCACAAAAGCAAGCTACCTTTTAGTTCCAAGAAAAATTATAATTTAAATACTGACAGGAATCTTTCATTATTCTCCCAGTCACGTTTTTTTAGTCTGGGCTTGTCGTCTTCAAGTATATTTGAACTACAGGTATTCCTTGACTTATGACCACAATTGAGCCAAAATGTCTGTTACTAAGTGAGGCAATTGTCAACAACATCCATTTTACGATGTTTCTTGCCAGAGTAGTTAATCTAGCTACCCCATTA